TCTTCCAATTATTACTCCTTTAATTTCCTGCTCTCGTCTTATTGCTCTTGCAAGAGTTTCAAGCACTATGCTAAAGAGGAGTGGAAATAGTGGACAGCCTTGTCTGGTTATGGGGTCGCTCCCTCTCCTCGTGGGTCATTGGCTACCAGTCCACGAGGACAAAGGGAGCAGATGCAACGAGCAGGGTCAGGACTGCCATTGAGCACTGATGGAAGAAAGCCCTTCTGGGGAGGCAGGTTCAGTGATGCAAACAACTCCAGATTCAGTGAAACAGCTCTGTTTATTCAGTGGGAGAACTAGAGAAAATATAGTGTGGAGGCAGTAGCCAATGCCTCAGCTGATAGGTGCTCATAGTATGCTTTATTTACATGTGGCAGTGGGCTCCTATCATCCGACTACCAGACAATGCCTAAATATCATATAGAAAAAACCTGGGGATAGTTTTTACTCCAGGTAACTATGCCAAAGGTCATGTTCCAAATAAGGTCAGGCATCCATGCTTGGTGGCACTTTCCAGGTAAGTTGGGAAGAGAGCAGGAGGCCCCCTGCTGAGAAGGGGAGTCCTTCCATTTGGCACCGAGCCCCTTAGAGCTATCCGGACATTGAGGACTACAACCCTAACAGAAGGGTTTCCCAACACTCTATACCATTCTCGAGGTTTGAGTTGAATTACGCTTTCCTTTATATCTCTGGTGAACAGTCTTTTCTGGCACAGTGACCTGGGCATCATATATTGCTTTTCTTATACCTAGTTCTCTGAGTAATGCCTGTCTCTCCTTTGTAGTCCTCTGGCCTCTGTTAATTATGGGGGTTCCCCTTGGTGATAGCCATGTATCTTTAATGCCTTTAACCAGCCGCCCCATTAAGGACTGCTCCCTACTGCACTGGCCTAGGTTAAACAGCCTATGTCGCAAGGATGGATGGGTGGTTATATAATTCAGCTGTGAAGCTTCTGATGGACTTAGACTGATGTTATTTGCTCCCATATCCCATACCCTCACAAGCCACGTGGTGAGGGGGGTCTCTGATCACTTGTTTGTAAATCTTTCTTAGCTTCAACAGCTCCAGTGTGGAGTACTTCCTAGCCTACAGTACTGTTAGCTTTGTTCTCTTTTTGTATCAAAGGTTGAATCTGAGGGGCAGCTTTAGCTACTTTTATTTTTAGGTCGTTTCTTTTCTCACTACTTTTTTTCTGGATCCACTTTCATTTCTTTCTTAATTTCTTCTTTGACCCATTCATCATTCAGGAGTGTGTTGTTTAATCTCCATGTGCTCATGTAGTTACTAGGGTTTCTTCTCATGCTGATTTTAAGCTTTATTGCATTGTGGTCTAATAGAATGCATGGAATTATTTCAATCTTTTTTTATTTGTTGAGGTTTTTTTTTTGTGCCCCAGTATATGGTTGATTTTGGAGAAAGTTCCATGGGGTGCTGAATAGAAAGTATATTCTTTGGTCTATGATAGAATATTTGGTAGATTTCTGTTAGACCCATTTCATGTACAGTATTGTTTAATTCAGATGTCTCTTTGTTAATTGTCTGTCCTGATGACCTATCTAATGGACACAACGAGATATTGAAGTCCCCTCCTATTAATGAGTTGGGAGTAATCTGGGTGTTAAAGTCCTGTAGTACTTTTTAAAGTTATTTATTTAATAACCGTATAACTAGAAGAAGCATTTCATTAAAGAGCACTGACATATTCAATAACAATTTCCAGAGCTAAGATGTATCGCTTTCAAAATTGGCTATAAATTTTTCATTGACAGTTGAATTAAAACAGTTATACAATATTGTACTCAGTATAAATATAAGACATAAGGTGAATGAGGTTTTAACCTTTAAAAAAGATTTCCATTTCATTTTAAAATATATGAAGTTGGGTGCACCAGAGTTTGGTGAATGATTGTAATATCTTCTTGGTTTATTGTTCTTTTGATCAGAATGAAGTGGCCCTCTTTATTTCTTCTGATTAGTTTTAGTTTAAAGTCTATTTTGTCAGATATTAGAATTACAATGCCTGCTCTTATCTTAGTACTATTTTCTTGGTATATTTTTTCCCCTCCTTTCACCTTAAGGTAGTGCTTGTCCTTGAAAGTGAGAGGATTTTTTTGCAGACAACTAAAAGATGGGTTTTGTTTCTTAATCCATTTAACTAGCCTGTCTTTTAACTGGGAATTCAGTCCATTGATATTTAAAGTTATTAATGAAAGATGTATATTGATTCCTGTCATTTTTCTTTCTGTTCGCATTCTTGGTGTAACTGTGTTTCCACAGATATATCTTCATTAAGTTTCTTTCTGTTACCCTTTGGGTATAGTCATTCCTTTCTTCAGCCCTTTGTATTTCTTCAAGAACTCTCTGAAGGGCTGGTTTTGTGGACAAGAATTCCTTCAGCCTATTTATGTCATGGAAGATTTTTCTTTCCCCTTCAACTATAATAGACATTTTGGTTGGATATAGTGAT